TATGTATATCATGATTCTTGTTTCTTAGACTCTAAGGTAGCTTAGGATGCTTCCCGAGTCTCACTTGGACATAGACGTTAGGTGGCATGAGCCCCTTTAACATGTTTCACCTTAAGGTGATAAATTTGTAAAATACTAGGTCGATGCATGCTCATCTCCTACGAGTAACTTTATGTTACTCACCCCTACGATACTTGGGTATATTTCAGGTACGAAGACTTGGTTCGTGAAGCCTAGCATTCCTTGGATGTCGTGTAGCTTTCAAGTTTCCATTTCATGCAAATGTTAGCATGAAATGTCATTTTGTAGATTTATATGTCAAAATATGTATATTTGATTCCATGTATGTAATGCGTACTTAAGTACACTTCTTTCAATGTATTTGATGTGTATGAGATGAGGCCGGAGGCCAATGACCATTATATTGTGTTCTATGTACTTTTTGACTACATGAAATATTGTGAAAATCTTGAAAAATCGCAAGTCATTGCTTCACCATGGTTGCATCGGGTGTGAGAATTCCATTCTCATTCTTTCATAGGGTCTCATAAATCATGTTTGAAGTGTGGCCAAGGGCCAAAAGGTCATTTGATCCCATTTTGTATTTTTGGATTCCATGTTTTTCATTCCAAGTCCATTTTTGCCTTTTTGACCGTTGGGGGGTCGGATTTTGCATCGGCTATATTTTTAAGCCATGGACCATTGTAGCGCGTCTAAATAGGTAAGTTACGTTTGCGTGCATAGTCGTTTCCGGGCAAAACCTCATTGTTTGTGTTTTGAGCCTCTTGTGAATTCATTTCGCATTTTTTTTGCATATTCTGATCTAGGGGCATTATGGACCTTCCACATCAGTTTTATTTTCTTCTTTTGACATGGTCGCTTAGAAAATGTGATTTTAGGTGGGGTTTCTTTTTTGTGTTTTTCCAGAAAATGTCATCTTGATATCGGAAATCACTTACGAAGTTCAGCTCTCAGTTTTTCACATAGCAGCGTTTTGGACCTCCATGACCAGATTTCATAGAGGGGCATTTCGGGCATTCTACATTGAGTTTTTTTTGAATTCTTTTAAGAGTCACGTAGAAAACTCAATTTTGAGGGGGGTTTCTTCTTTGTGTTTTTGCAAAAAAGTTCATCTAGGCCTCCAAATTCAGCCTCTATTCTGGAATTTTCTGAAAAATAACCCCATAGCAACTTTATGGGCTATTGCTGCCAGCCATGGTGCACTCGGCGCGCGCGCGGGGTGCATGGGCGCTCGCATGGGCGTGCGCATGGGGCTATCATGGCCCCTCTTCGGGCCGCTGCAACGTCAATTATTCTTTTGGGCTTTTCTCCTTCGTCCGGATTTCGATTCAAGTGAATTTTTTTTTGAACTTGATTAATTTTTCGTTGTCTTTCCAACGGTGTGCTCGATTGCACCCAGTTCTTCCTAGATAATTACCAATTTACCCTTTTTGCCTTAAGTGCTCGTTTTTCTTCGTCACGCCGTTTCTCATTTGTCCGGATTCCGAATCATGTGATTCTTGAGTCCTTCTTGATTAGTTTTTCGTTGTCCTTCCAGCGATGTGCTCGGTGGCACCCGAATCTACAGTTTTCAGAAATAACTATTTTGCCCCTGGGGGCTTATTTGTCATATTTTTGGTCTTTTGCTTCCGCATCAGTTCTTGTTGAGTTCCACGACCTCATGGAAGGTCATTTTTGCATCGGTGCGTGCATTGCTTATGTAATTCATCCTTTAACATTCAATTGCCGTATGTGACGTGTGGCCAAGGGCCAAACACCATTTAGTTTTCATTTTTGTATTTTAGTTCACATATTGCATTTTGGGCTAAAATAGTAAAATTCGAGCATTTAAGGGTTCATTTTCAAACCGGGTGGTGCAAAGTGTGTTCCGGCACCTCCACTAGGTCTCATTTATCTTGTATGAAGTGTGGTCAAGGGCCAAATAGTCATTTGAAACCATTTCCTAATTTTGGTTTTCATTTTTCCCATTTCATGTTTATTTTTGCCTTCTTAGCCGTTGGGGGGTCGAATATTGCATCGGCAGTATTTTTAGGCCGTGGACCATTGTAGCATGTCCAAATGGGTAAGTTACATTTGCATGAAAGATCGTTTTCAAGAAAAACCCTTTCTTTTGTGATTTGAGCCTCCTAGAGATTCATTTTGTACTTTTGTTGCATAATCTGATCTAGGGGCATTCTAGACCTTTCACATCAGTTTTATTTTCTTCTTTCAACTTGGTTACTTAGAAAACGTGATTTTAGGGGGGGTTTCTTTTTCGTGTTTTTCCATAAAATGTCGTCTTGGTATCGGAAATCCCTCATGAAGTTTCAGCTTCCCGTTTTCATTTAGCAGCTTTATGACCCTCATGACCAGATTTTTTGGAGGGCCATTTTGGGCATTTTACAGTGAGTTTTTTTCGTTTCTTTTCGACCGGTCAGGTAGAAAACTCGATTTTAGGAGAGGTTTCTTCTTCGTGTTTTTCTAGAAAAACTCGTCTTGATCCCCGTTTCAAGCCTCTGTTTTGGAACCTCACTTTTTTTTTCTTTTTCTTTTTTTTTTTTTTTCTTTTTTTTTTTTTTTTTTTTTTACTGTTAGCTTGTGTATGCCATTGGGCGCTGGCATGGGCACCGGTGGGCTCGTGCATGGGCACCGTGTGCATCATGGCCTTCGTCGGGCCGCCGCGACGTCACAACTTCAAACACTCGTTTCTCCCTCGTTCGGACTCCAAATCGAGTGAACTTTTTCTTGTACTATACAACGGTGTGCTCGGTTGCACCCGAATCTTCTTGTATAATTACCAGTTTACCCTTTTAGCCCTAAGTACTTGTTTTTCTTCGTCATGCCGGTTCTCCTTCACTCGAACTCCGAATCATCCAATTCTTGAGTCCATCTTGATTTTTTTTTTTTTTTTTTTGTTGTCTTTCCAGCGGTGTGCTCGGTGGCACCCGACTTTATATTTTTCAAAAATGACCATTTTGCCTTTGGGGCTATTTTTGTCCGATTTTCTTGTAATTTGCTTCCGCTACTTTCTTTTGAATTCCGTGACTTTCCATGAAGTCACGGATGTGTCTCGAGAATAATTTACATTCTTGGGACGTCATTTCCATGTAAAATGACTATTTTGCCCCTAGGTGCTTATTTGTCATATTTTCGATCTTTTGTTTCCGCATTAGTTCTCATTGGGTTCTACGACCTCATGGAGGGTCACTTTAACTTCTTAGAGTCTTGTTTTCTATTTTTGTTTCCGCATTCGGATTCGTTATCGGGTCAACTTTCGGGTCACCATTGACGCACCGGGTTGAAAAAAAACCTGGGTCGTTATAGTATATTTTAGGGAGTGACTTTTAGATGACGAAAAATAAATATATTATCTCTTTCTAGATTTTAGGGTTTGCTATCTCTTCTAAAGGAGGTTACCACAAGCCTTAACTCCAAGGTCGTTCATCGAGGCGTATTGGTGATTCCTAAAGGGGTCTACAATAAGTAAGAATATTCACTTTAGAGAAAAGATTTAAATGTTTACTTAGACATTTGATGTAAGTATGAAAACTGTTAATTAAATGATATATCATCTTTTATTTTTGCATAAAACTTGTCTCTATGTAAGGAATCAAGATCTATTTATAAAAATCCCTCAAATTTTTTTTTTTTAAACTTGCACATTTCCCAACACAAAGAACCTCGGTACTATATACAAGATGCGCGAATAAACCCATATTGTTTTAATTTGTGCATATAAGGACATTATGTCAATTTAGCAATTGAAATGTCTAAAATAGCCTCCATAAAAAAATTTTAAAAAATAAACAAATTGTTTTTGCCCTGGAGTGAGTCTTTGAGTCATGAAGATCATTGAAGCTGTAACCAACTTCTTAAACGAATGGAAGCTAGTCGGACGTTGTAGCTTCAGTTGGGTCTTGCTTTGCATGAAGCGGAGCCGGTGTGAGCTCGGTGTTGCTGATGCTTGGAGCCTCACCATTTCAGGTCTCTTGTTCTTGCCTTAATTGTGTACACGGGAGATGAAACAAAGCTCAGAGCTTCACTGGGAGTCTGGGATCCATGGTGACACACAAGCGTCCTTCAATGGAGCAGTTACAGTTGTTTGGTCGTGAAGTTTGATGCTGGCCGGACAGAGCGGGAATGCGGGATGACTGAAGCTCGCTGCTGGGTCAGTTGAGACTCACCCAAGCGGGATAAAATTTCCATATCAAAATTTTAAAATATATGAAAATACAAAAAAGACATGATAAAATTTTAAGCTGCAACAATTACAGACCTCTCATGTTCATATAAGGGACCAAGTGGGTGTATCTCCTCAACTCAAATTACGGCCAAGTTGTACCTTAGATGCAAAGAAAGGAATTTCAGTCACATAGAAGGACAAATAATTAGTTTTTGCACAAACATATGGAGTTGTGATTTGTTCAAAAGATTGATAGTAGAGGAAGATATATATACACATTTTTTTTTTTTTTTATGAGTGTTTTTTGTACTTCTTATATATAGTGAAGGAATTTTTTACACTTAACCCGTATTATGTTCACCCCATATTATATTCATAATATTATAAAAATCTCTCCAACAGTTTCTCTATAGATAATATCCATATGAGTACGTAGGAAACTGCTTTACATGTAGCACGGATAGGTTGAGTCAATTTTAAATGGATCTTGCAACTTTCAAGGATTTTCAATCACCAACTATTTCTTATACATACGAGGATAGAATTTTAGAAGATCTAGTAGATATAATGTTGCTTTAATTACTGACCATGTAGAAACTCTAATTTATTTGAGCATGATTTGATTGCCATCGGGCAACTTGCAACTTGTGGACCCCAATCCCAAATTTATTTATTATTTACTATGATTTTATAAGCCCAAATTGATTATGAAACAAAGATTGAGATAGAGAGGGGACCCCATTTTTGAATCTCATCAACCTTTTTTCAATAAATACCCCTGATACATGAATCACTATTTTAACTCAACAGAACAAACATGTCTTCCTCTTCTTCTACCATGTTCTTCCAACATTTTCTAGGGCACTTCTACTCAAGAAGATTGCTACTACACACTCCTCTTTATTCGTCACCTGCTATGGCAACCCCTCCCGTAATGGTCCTAGTAGTCCTCTTGTGTGCCCTAATATGCTCACTAGCTTTAGGATTGCTTTCCATCATTAGGTGTGCTTTAAAGCGCACAAATTTAGGAGCCTCTGAGACTATGAATAACCCGGCGCCTAAGTTGGCCAATGTAGGCATCAAGAAAAAGGTTCTCAGCACTTTCCCAACACTGATTTATTCAGATGGGTTGAATCAGCCAGGCTTGGACAACGAGTGTGTGATTTGTCTTTCGGAGTTCACACACGGTGAGTGTGTACGAGTCCTTCCCAAATGCAACCATGGGTTTCATGTTCGGTGCATCGATGAGTGGCTCAATTCGCATTCCTCGTGCCCTACTTGTAGGCATTGTCTCGTTGAAAGGGGCACCCGAGCTAACTCATCAAGGCTGCTATCACCACCACCACCACCACCACCACCACCACCACCACCACTATCACGATTGGACACAATAATAAGCATTGTCCCACTAGAGCCTGAAGGATTGAAACGGAATTACAGAAATGATCAAGCATTGTCCCATGCTTGTTCAGTTCAGTTAAATTAGTGTGGTGAGCCAAGTCAATGATATGTAATTTCTATATATATATTTTTTTACATAAAATTAGTTCATTTCTTGGCATGTAATAAAAAATAAGGTAGTTGGAAAAGAAAATACTTCAATCACTTTTTCGTAATTCAATCACTTTCTCCAAAGAAAGATCTCCGAGTATATACACTAAAAGCAAAAGCATTGTCAAACACTTGCACAGTGCGGTCCTGTTAAAAGGAAGCACTAGCTCATAGAAGCAGACTAGAAATATTTTTATATTTTGGTATCTGTAAAGAACCGTCATTAAAAATTCAAATATAGTGCTACCACTTTTTAACAGTAAATTAAAAGTTGGACTAAAAAAAACTAGTAAGTAATACTTTTTTAACCTCACAATTATGAAGAATATATGCTTGACTAAATTATACTGATACTCTGAAATGAGGCCCAAATTATAAGCAATTGCAAATTTTGCGAAGCACTGTATAATTGTTAATGTTAGGTTGGTTTGCAGCCCGTATCGTTAAGGATCCTGAAGAGGCTTTTGACTCTGGGATATCCGAGATGGAGTCACAGGTGACATAGCCTTAGACGGTGTAAACATATAGAGGCTAGAGCAACTCATATTTGTCACGCTAGCATTTTTTAGGAGGTCAACATTTTCAAGAATCACATGAACATCTTGAACACCCTAACTTTTAGTCATTGTATGTGGTCCAATGATGCGTTTTCTCTCTCCAAAAATAATATTATTTTAATATTTTTTTAATAATTAATAAATTTTGTTAATTGATTGTTGTATTTTTCTTCAATATTTATTATGGGTTGATGTATTTATTAGAGGTGAAAACAAAGGCAATTTTTTTTCTTAAAAAAAAAAAAAAAAAAACCTTCATTTTTTAAGGAAAAAATAAAAATAAAAATAAAAATAAAAATTCAAAATTAACTTTTCTGGGGGCAATAGAGTCGTTAAGCCATTGTTTACCCAATAAAAAATAAATAAATAAAAAGGTGAAATTAAATTTATTTTTTGGCTTTTTTTTAGGACTAAAAAGACGTTTTAGGCACTGTTAGTGTCAACGAAACAGTGTCTTAACGGCTCTTAATTTCAGTATTGTTGAATGAAAAAAAAAAAAAAAAAAAAAAGAGAGTAAAAAAACTAATGTTTTGTAATTTTTTGAGTCAAAGTGGCCCTTAGAGCCGTTTCAATAGTGCTCTGTGCCTGTTTTTTATTTTTTTGTTTAAGAAAAAAAAAAATGGAAGTGATTGCTATCTGGGTTCCCAAATTTGGCAACCCAATATTTGGACTCACAATCTAGCAAATCCTATTGGAGTGGATTAAATCGCCAAAACTCATATGTCGTGTAATGCAAATGGGAATAGAATGAGAATGAGAATGGAATAACTATTCTATTATTTGGTTACACCATTGAAAATTTAGTATGGAATGAATTTCAAAATGAATTTTCCAAAATACCCCTCTTACATGCAAATAAATCATATTAACAAAATAACATTCTTCTATAATTTTTTTAAAAGAAATGTAAGGGGTGGTAAATGGTGGTGACGATGGTGGTGGAGGTGGAAAGTGGTAGTGGTGTAGTGGTGGTGTTAGAAGGCCATAGTGTTTGCAGTGGTGGAAAGGGACATCGGTGGTAGTGTCGAAAGGCGGTACTGGTGTTGGTGGAAGGTGGTGGTAGTGGTGTAAGTGATGATGGTAAAGGTAATGGTCGTAGTAGAATGTGGTGGTGGTGGTGGTAACGGTGGCGGTGGAAGGTAATGGAGGCTGTAGTAGTGTGGTGGTGGTGGAAGGCGACGACATTGGTGGCAGTGGTAATGATGGTGGAATGGTGGTGGTACGTGGCAGTGGTGGAAGACAGTAATGGTGTAGGAGGAAGGTGGCAGTGGTGGAATGTAGTGGTGGTGACGACGGCGGCGGTGGCGGTGGTGACAATGATGGTAGTGGAAGGCAATGGAGATGGTGGTATAGTTGAAAGTGGTGGTGGTGGAAGGCGGTGGTGGTGGTGGTGGTTGAAGGCAAAAGTGATTTTTGAATATCACTTGGCTTCATTAAGTTAGCCAATGTAAAGAAGAAGGTCCTCAACACTTTTTTCGACAATGACTTGTTAAGATGTGTTGATTATGCCAAGCATGGACATCGAGTATGTGATTTGTCTTTTCGGAGTTTACACACTGTGAGTGTGTATGAGTCTTTCCCAAGTGGGGTGCGAATCCCCTGAAGTCACTTTGCCCTGCTGTCCCATGTGGTGCACATTACTTGGCCTATATTGGCCACGTCCTTATTTGTTTAAGTGCCATTGAGATCGCATTTGGAAGTAGTAATTACACAAAGTAACATACTCCCTCACCACCACCTTCACTCTCAAAACAATGTATTCACATAGTTCCGACTAAATAATGTCACATATAAATATAACTCAATTCAACATATTATTTATGTTATTATATATTTAATATTAAATGTATGCAGCAATTACATATAAATGAATTCACATGTTGTTATTTGATATTTATAAAAAAAAACTTGGCAAAGTTTAATATTAATTGCCACACTCACGATCTTTAACGTCAAAAGAAGGTATTCACATAGTGCTGATTAAAAAAATTGAAGATACCGGTCGACGCCTAAAGACCAGATGTCGATTGAAAGCCTCAAACCTGTCAACGTGTAGCCACTTCACGTTGACCGAGCCCTGCATACATAAAAATATATATATATATATCACACTCACCACCTCCACCATCAAAACAAGGTATTCATATAGTGCTGAATAACTAATACCACACATATATCTAGCCCCAAAAAGTGGAGATACTAGTTGATTCCTAAGGACCAGAATTCGACCGAAAGCCCCCAACCGGTCAACGTGTAGCCACTTCACGTCGACAGAGTCCTGTATACATGGGGAAAAAGAGGCTTTGAAGCTTTTCATTATTTTGCTAAACATCGAGTATTTTGTAAACATTCACTACAAGAAAAGTGGATTTTTACGATGTAGTATTTACGGTGATTTTTTATTTTGCCTCGTAGAAGCTATTTTTTACAAGGTTTATAAGAGGCCACTTGTAATTATGGCATAAAGGGTCACTCTTTCATGGATGTTAATAGAATTCTTATAAAAAAAATTGTTTTCACGGGAGATTAAAGAACCCGTTAATGTTTACATATATTTACGAAGGATTTATCCCACTTTAACAGGCAAAAGTCACTTGTTAATAAATATATTTTTAAGGTAATATTTTCTTCCCGTGAATATGAAGAAAAAAAATTAAAAATAAAAATCCCGCCCACATATTTTTTCACTCCCGCAAGGAACTCCATAGTCAGCCAAAAGCTCACACGTACACATACGCGCACACAAACACAAAATACACACTCTTTGACGAAAAAAAAATGAAAAAAAAAATAAAAAAATCTTCAGTAACACAAACACGGCACAACAGACCTCTTTACCTCTTTGATAATCCCTAACACAAAAAAATCTTCTTGTGTACATCTTGATGTAAAGGGGCTTTCCATCGTCGTCTCTGTCTCCGGCCTCCATCGTCATCTTTGTCTCCAATCGCCATCGTTATCTTTGTCTCCGGTCATCATAGAAGGGACTCCTAAGCCCTAAATGATAACACACGGCTCAGAAATGAAACCCTAAATCAGGAGATTGTGTTTTTAATTTCGCTCTCAATAAAAACTAATAGGCATGTAAGATCTTCCATTTCTCTTACATACGCCCAGATTTGATATTTTTTCGTTTCTTCGCTTAAATCGTTGAAAGTGTTTTGAATTTCGCTCTCAATAAAAAACGAAATCCAAAGTTCAAAAATTGTGTTTTGAAGATTGCATTGTTTGTCCTCTCCTAGTATGTTTCAACCACAATCTCTCCTCTCTCTATATAAATATATTTGAGAAATGTGTATAAATATATACTTTCAATTTTTCGGTTTGATTTTGAATTTCGACTGAGGGTTTTTTTTTTCTTTTTCTTGGATTTGTTGATTCTCATACTGAATGAGGTATGGCTAGAGGAGGACACCCTTTTTGCCAAAGGTGAAGCCCAGAAAGAATGGGAGGAAGAAATGTATGGCAGGTTGTACTGTGGGAACAATGGTAATTAATTAATTCCTGATTTCAACATTTTCGAACAAATCTATACATGTATGTATTAATCTCTGCTTCTATATTTGATTTAGATGTATGAATTTCCACTTATTGTCTTATTGATTTGCATATATGTGTGTATATGCATGTAAATATGAATTCCCTTGAGTTAATCTATGATAGAGGTTGATATAGAAAAATAGTTGCAAGGCAGTATGATGCCATGGTAGTTGCAGCTAAAATGTCTTGGTTCCTAAAAATAAGATCCTCTGAAATATAAAGAAGAGGATTGATAAAATGTATGCTACTGATTATAGTTGGCCTTATGAAGACTATATGAGGATAATATGCTGGAATGGGAGGTTGATAGTTAAAGATACCTAAAATGAGTATGACAGCCCAACAAGCCCAGTCCTCACTAAGATAGTCTCCAGGCCCAAAATCAAGGGAGAAGAAATGAATTCATACCCAAATAAAAGCCCAAGGGATCGGCCCAGGAAGGGAGATGAAAGAAGAAGGTTCCAGAAGACTGGTAAAAATCTATAAACAGAGTGAAAAAAGAGGAAAAATGGGTTGAAACATTTTGAAGTGTAGAAATACATTTCTATATCATGAGAGAACGGTTTTCTGTTACTTCAATTGGCGCCGTCCATGGGAACGAAGGAGAGAGTTGATCGATTTTCACAAACGAAAAGTGTTGATTGATTTTCTATTGATTCTCAGAACAAGAAAGTAAGATCTGATCAAATCTTGAGGAAATTTTAAGGAACGACGGATGAATCAGATTGATCTTCATTGATGACTAACGGATTTGATAAAAGAAGAATCAGATCTGATCAAAAAAGAAAAAGATCTGATCGGAGGAGAGTCAGATCTAAATTGAGGAAAGCCAGATCTG